GCACTCTGTAGGTGTTTTGTTTGCTTTTCGCGATATACTCGATAATATAAAATCACACATTGTTAAAAAACAATTACGATATTATCGCAGACCATCGCACACCCCTACTGTTTAGATTTTTATAATGCATTGTCTTCTTATCGATCCACCAGTTCACATTTAAAGCTCTGCGTGTTTGCAGGGTAAAAACATGGGTCAATTTTTGCATTTGTCTGATTTCTGAACAAAACATCAGTTTTATTGAAAATGCTCATTCATTCTCTGCAGCAGGTGGTGCATTTGTTAGAAATATAACTGTTTCTCCGGTAACGGCAGAACACAAAGCAGCGCAGCACCGGACTTTGAACCTGCAGCGCTCATGTTTATTTAATGCAATCATAGCCTTTTGAGGTTTAATCGTCACATTCAGCCATGTCGCAATTCTGGTCTTTCCGTCCCCAAATTTAAGACCTGTTGAAATCATAATTAAGACTTTCTTCACTTGGATGCGCTTTATTTCACTTCTTTTGGACTGATGGACTGCAACACCCGCTGACTGCCATTAAACAGCTTGGAAGATCAAAGACAATTTTTAATATAACTGCGACTGGATTCATCTGAAAGAAGAAAGTCATATACACCTAGGATGCCTTGAGGGTGAGTAATTCATGGGCCAATTTCCATTTTTGGGTGAACTAACCCTTTAACATAAACCATTTGTCCCGGTAAAACGTTATGAACGATTACAACGTCAGATTGAGGTTGGCATACAAGACATTTATGTCTGCATGTAGCCGAGTGAGGTATAGCCCCAGTGCGATTGGCTGGCGTTACCCAAGCCGGTGAACCTATCAGTGTTTGTACTTCATTATGATTGGTCAGTATTGTGCCTATTGGTTTCATGAGCCTATTGGTGCCTGTGTTGTGAATATAAAAAAGGGAAGTGTTTGGCTGTTTGCGATGCATCATCCTTGGTACCACCCCTTTGTGACATGTGGCATTTTCTCTTTCTTTTATTTTTGTTATTTTATCTTATTGTACTTACGGTTTGGTATATTATTGATATTGTGTTTGTGCTGTGATTTTGAGACCTTGTGTGAAGTATTGTATTGATTTACTCTTTTTTTTATTAATTATTTGTATACTTGAATAAAGTGATTTGTCTATATATTTCTGTCTCTGTCTCCAAGCTCAACCTGCCTTTGGCAACGAACCTGTGTGCCCTGCTGCATAGGGCTGTTACATCCCGGTATACTCCGGGTGGTGTAGTCGACTGGGATTTGTTTCTTTTGTTACTGGTAACTTCCTCTACTTGACCACTCTTGCCACATCTGCATATTTCAAATCAATGTGCCTTACAGTCAGAAAAACAACTGAAGGTTTTGTTTCAACTAACAACGTGACCATCAGCATGCAACAAGTCAAGCAATGCTTCCATGACTCTCCTGTGTGTATTTTCATCAGTAATACAGATAAAAATGTCAGCCACACACTGAACTATAGTTGACTGACTTTCCCATTTGTCTAATCAGGGTCTTGCCAGTCTTAGGGCTTCAACAACTGAGAGCAAGGCAGTCTTGGTTGAAAGTCCACTTCTGAAACCAGACTGGTTGCTGTCAAGGAGGTTGTTCTGTGTGAGAAAGGCAGAGACTTGGTTGAACACAGCTCGTTCAAGTGTTTTTGCAATGAAAGGAAGAAGGGAAACCGGTCTGTAAGTTCTCTAAAAGAGATGGGTTAAGGGTGGGTTTCTTAAGTAGTGGGGTTATACGAGCCTGTTTAAATGTTGAGGGAAAAAATTTTGTTTTAGCATGTGACAGCTAACCAATCCTGACGGGGTTCATGAAGGGGCACTGACATTGGATGTCTTTTACAGAAGAAATGTAGCATCAGTTGATACACAGGAGAAAACAGTAGAAGGGTTAGCCACTAATGGTGTCATTTTATCAACATACTTTTTGATCTCTCAGTAGTCAATTGTCAGCCTCCATTTGCCATTTGGTTTCTTTACGGGCCACATTGATGAGTTGCTGTTGGAGAATGTTTTTCAAATGATTCCCCGTTTTTCCAAATTTAGCACTACCTTAGCAGCTGCTAATTCAGGTTTCTCTTTTAATGGGTACTGGGAGGTACAAAGGGGGAACTTTACCAGTGAATCTCACAGGATTACAGGTCCAGACAATTAGGTGCCCTGTTGATCATTGATCTTCTTTACGACCGTAGATAGCTGGGGAGGAGAGTCCTTAGTTTTTCCGGTGGAATGCGGAGATTCAATGTTCGTTTGTGTCTGCTCACAGATTCAATGGTTTCTCGTTTTGAAGACAGAAATCCTACACCGTGTTTTCCTCAACAAGGGTGACCTGCTTCAGCCAGATTAATTTGTTCCCATGCAACTGCAGACTGCCTGGTAGTCTCCACAGTATGTCAAGGTCAAGTAGAGCTGTGAGACTGGCCCTACCCATACTGCAGCCAATATGTCCGCACATTCAGTAGTTATCGTAACAGGTGTAGTATTTTTTTCAGCAACTTTACCTGTAGCACTACTCAATCCAATAGTCTTTCCCATGTAACAGAAAATACCAGAATGATTATCAGGTATTACTGTAATTTAATTAAGCCCCTGTGTCAATTAAGAAATAAAATTTTAACCGTCAT